TATATATATATATATATATATATATATATATATATATATATATATATCTGAATCACTGTGCTGTACACCTGAAACTAACACAACTTTGTAAATGAACTATAATTTTTAAAAAGTTTAATAATAAATTTTAATTGTTAAACTTAAAAAAAAACTTTTAGAGGTAATGGGTATGTTTATTACGTTGTGTTGATGATTCCTTGGCAGTAATGTTTACAGGCCAAAATTTATCACACTGTACACTTTAAATATGTGCAATTTATTGTAAATTAATTATACCTCAATAAAAACTGGAAGGAAAAAAAAAGCCTGACAAACCAGATAGTACGTATAAATAGAAGAACAAGGAACTAAGGAACTAAAAATAGATAGGAGTAGCAAGATAACCACTAGAACAAAAATAGAATAGAAGCAAAACATATTTATACACAACTCAGCAACTTTTAAAACTAGAAACATGATAGCTCTGTAGATCAGCAGTTCTCCAAGGGTGCCCAGGGGACCCGCCAGTCTTCCAGGGAGTCCACAGAAGAAAACTATTTTAAGAAAAGAAAGGTGCTCTTTGCCTTTTTAATCCTAGTTCTGTCATGAGCCTACAGTGGAGTCTTCCAGGGCCTCTGTGGTTTGTATCACAGATTAAATGTAGAAACAGATATAAGAATCCAGCTGTCTTCCAATAAGCCAAAAACTTTGCAAAACTGTAAAACAACGCCACTCTTCATCAAAAACACTGTTTAATCATTGCAGCACTGTTTACAATAGCCAAGACATGGAAGCAACCAAAATGTCCAACGACAGAGGAATGGATAAAGATGTGGTGGACTTCCCTGGTGGTGCAGTAGTTAAGAATCTATCTGCCTGCCAATGCAGGAGACACGGGTTCAATCCCTGGTCTGGGAAGATCCCACATGCCGCGGAGCAACTAAGCCCCTGTGCCACAACTACTGAGGCCGTGTGCCACAACTACTGAAGCCCGTGAGGCTAGAGCCCGTGCTCCACAACAAGAGAAGCCACCGCAATGAGAAGCCTGCACACCACAACAAAGAGTAGCCCCCGCTCGCCGCAACTAGAGAAAGCCCGCGCGCAGCAACAACGACCCAACGAAGCCATAAATGAATGAATTTATTTTTTAAAAAATAGATGTGGTACACATATACAATGGAATATTACACATATACAATGGGATATTGCTCAGTAATATACAATGGAATATTACAAAAATGAAATAATGCCATTTGCAGCAACATGGATGGGCCTAGAGATTATCATACAAAGTCTAGTAAGTCAGACAGAGAAAGACAAGTATCAGTCTTATATGGAATCTAATTTTAAAAAAATGATACAAATGAACTTACAAAACAGAAACAGACCTACAGATATCGAAAACAAACTCATGGTTACCAAAGGGGAAACGTGGGAGGGAGGGATAAATTAGGAGGTTGGGATTAACATACGCACACTACTATATATAAGACAGATAACCAACAAGGACCTACTGTATAGCACAGGGAACTCTACACAATAATCTGTTATAGGGTTTCCCTGATGGCCAGTGGTTAAGAATCTGCCTGCCAACGCAGGGAACACAGGTTTGAGCCCTGGTCTCGGAAGATCCCACATGCTGCGGAGCAGCTAAGCCCGCGTGCCACAACTACTGAGCCCATGAGCCACAACTACTGAAGCCTGTGCGCCTAGAGCCCATGCTCCACAACAAGAGAAGTCACCGCAATGAGTAGCCCCTGCTCGCCACGACTAGAGGAAGCCCGTGTGCAGCAACGAAGACCCAACGCAGCCAAAAAGTAAATTTCTAAAAAATAAATAAAACCTTGTTCAAAAAGTAATCTGGGGCTTCCCTGGTGGCGCAGTGGTTGAGAGTCCGCCTGCCGATGCAGGGGACACGGGTTCGTGCCCCGGTCTGGGAAGATCCCACATGCCGTGGAGCGGCTGGGCCCGTGAGCCATGGCCGCTGAGCCTGCGCGTCCGGAGCCTGTGCTCCGCAATGGGAGAGGCCACAACAGTGAGAGGCCCAGGTACTACAAAAAAAAAAAAAAGTAATCTGTGATAACCTATATCATAAAAGTATCTGAAAAAGAATGAATATATGTATAACTGAATCACTTTGCTGTACACCTGAAACTAATACAAAAAAATAATCTGTGATAACCTATATAATAAAAGAATCTGAAAAAGAATATATGTATAAATGAAACACTGCTGTACACTTGAAACTAATACATTAAAAATCAACTACACTCCAATAAAATAAAAAAAAGTTTAATAACTGAAAAAAGACATTGTTTATGTTAACGTGTGATGGGCTTATTTTTTTGTTTGTTTGTTTGTTTGTTTGTTTTTGCGGTACACGGGCCTCTCACTGTTGTGGCCTCTCCCGTTGCGAGGCACGGGCTCCGGGCGCGCAGGCTCAGCAGCCATGGCTCACGGGCCCAGCTGCTCCGCGGCACGTGGGATCTTCCCGGACCGGGGCACAAACCCGCGTCCCCTGCATTGGCAGGCGGACTCTCAACCAGTGCGCCACCGGGGAAGCCCCGGGCTTATTATTTTTAAATGAAGTAATAAATGAACACAGCATTTTAAAAATTCCTCAGTTTTAATTTGTAAAAGGGCACCAGTTGATAGATAAAACCCACACAAACAAAACTCCTTGGGGTCCTGAGCGGTGGGGAAGCACTGCTGTCAATCTGTCATTGCTCAGCCCCCCAAGGGACTCCCCGTAGGCAGAGGTCACTACCCTCGCCAAGGGCAGTGACCCCTGAGTGAGGGACCCTGCACTCCACACTGGTGCCCTCAACCTATGGTCTGGTCCCTAGATCATGCCCGGTTCCTAACAAGCTAAGTACAGAAATCAAGATTAAACCTTCAGAAACATTTACAGCAATTTTACGTTGCCACACAACCAAGCACATGATCGATGTATTTTGTATGTTTTTTTAATTCCATTTTTCTAATTGTTCATTTTTATTGTATTTTACAAAAGTGTTAGCCTGCAACAGTTTAAAATGTTTCAAGTGGTCCTTCACCACAGATATATTAAGAAGCACTAAAGTAGGGACTTCCCTGGTGCTCCAGTGGCTTAAACTCTGTGCTCCCAATGCAGGGGGCCTGGGTTCAATCCCTGGTCAGGGAACTGGATCCCACATGCAGCCAAAAAAAAAAAAGGCACTGAACTAGCTATCATATAATTAAAGGGAGGGAGGGATAAATTAGGAGGTTGGGATTAACATACACACACTACTATATATAAGACAGATAACCAACAAGGACCTACTGTATAGCACAGGGAACTTATTTGGACTTATTTGTTTATTTATTTTTGGCCGCGTTGGGTCTTCATTGCAGCTTCGTTGCAGCGTGCCAGCTTTTCTCTAGTTGTGGTGAGCAGGGGCTACTCTTCATTGCGGTGTGCGGGCTTCTCGTGGCGGTGGCTTCTCTTATTGTGGAGCATGGGCTCCAGAGCGCAGGCTTCAGTAGTTGTGGCTCGTGGGCTCTAGAGCGCAGGCGCAGTAGTTGTGGCGCACGGGCTTAGTTGCTCCGCGGCATGTGGGATCTTCCCGGACCGGGGCTCGAACCCGTGTCCACTGCATTGGCAGGCGGATTCTTAACCACTGCACTGCCAAGGAAGCCCTGGAATGATCTTTTAAGCAAAATATGTCGATAGTACTATTTCTCCATGATTAACGTACACTGCTTCTAATATAAGTATCAAAGCATTGCCATTAAAATGGAAATCGGTAATGATAAAGAAAATCATACATACCCTCTTCAGTGAAGAATTTTTCTACAGGTCCCACAAACTGATTAATTTCATTAAGTTCATCTTGGCTAACTTCCGGAAACGGGAAAACTTCTTTCTAAAAATGATAAACGTGTAGTAAAAATTTAATTTTTGGCAACCGCCCACAGTGGCAAAATACCAACCCAAAGGGAAGGAAAAAGACGTGCTAGTTTCCACATCGGCTGGCAGGGCCTCACTCGCTGAAGGAACCGGAAAGCAAACCTCAGAAGGAGCTTAAGACAAGGAATGGCGTTAGACTCCAGCACCTTGGTTCATCCTCCTCCCTGACCCAAAATTGTTTCCAGTTTTGGTCAGCTTGCCCCATGGAGCAGAGAGCCTGGACCAACATTCCAAACCCCAGTCTGGGCCCTGATTTGCAGCTTACTAACTGGGCAGCCTTCGTCACATCCCATCACCTGTCCACACTGCCGTTTTCTCACCTATAATGAGCAGGTAATATTTACTCAAGGCCGTTGTGAAGACCATGGAAGATAATGGATGAGCAAGCTCCTTACCAAAACACAGAAATCCACCTCAGTTATCCTGTGAGCTCAAAGATGCTGCCACTGACAAGAACGTACCGTGGTCACGGGTCTGACATCTTGCCGGGTTCCCACCTGGCTGCTCGCTCCAGCACCCGCCCGTCCTGCCTAATGAGCCCTGCTCCGTGCGCTGAGCAGGGCCACCAGAGGAGGCCCAGCCGAGGAGCCAGATCAACCGGAATGCAGCCCTGGCTCTGCCGATTCTTAGATGTGTGATGGGCAAGTCACACCGCTTCTCCGTGTCAGTTTCTCTCCTGCTACAGGTGATGCCTCAGAAGGCAGCTGTGAGGTGTCCTGAACACGAAATAGCTGCAATTATCTGTACTGGGTACTGGCTCTGCTCCTGTCCCCACAGCCTGGAAAGCGACTCCGCTTCAAGTCTACCTCAAACTGAAAAAGGAGTGGACAGTATTTCCAACTGACCCTGGATTCCCAACCAGGCCATGGCTACACGCTGCCTAAAATCATCCCGCTGTGCCCTCTGGCTTTTGGGCTCCAACCCCCGTTAGCTGCCAGCGCGACCCAAGTGTCTGGATTTGACTGACACCTGCTGAGAAGTGATGTCCCAGGCCCTAAGCTGCCCCCAGGAGCCCTGCCTCTCCTCACAGCACCTCACCAAGCGTCTTGAGAAAGGTCTTCAAAGCAGAGGAGTCCTGTCTCCTCTCCAGCCCTGTAAATAATCAGCCACTCTAGTTACAGGCTCCCAAATCTACTTTCTTCTTTCCGGCCACCTGTACAGGTGATAGGTGGGTGCCATGCCCAAACTTAAAAGAATCCCTGCCTCCAGGCCACCTTCGACCCTGCCCCTAAGGTGGTCTACAAGGAAATTACGCTGAGCTGTCACCACCCCGCAGCCGCTTAGAACAAAGCCGGCTCTTTAGCCGAATGTAGAGGCCACGTCCACTGCACCGGCCTGCACCGGCTCACCTGGGCCTGGTGCAATGGCTGTTAGAGGGAGATGATTCTGGTACCAGCGAGCAGCCAAGTGAGAGGAGAGAACAGGCTGAGAACCAGGTGGCCTCAACTGCAACCAATGGACAACTGTCCCCAAGAGAGAGATCTCGTGCACATGTGAGAACAAATCTCTGATGGCAGTGTTCAGAGTCTAAATGGGGTGCCTCATGGGTGATGGGTTCAATTTCATCAGCACTTTTCAAATTTTTGAAAGTACAACCGGTTTTTCAAATAAATCCAGTGCAGAAACCAAATATGCAAAACAGACGCAAGCCAAGCTGCTCTGGCTGAGGCTGTGAACGGGGAGAAAAGTCACCCAGATCCCTCCCACTGGACTCCCCCACTAGTCCCTGCAGCAGCCCTGGGGGTGCTGCCAGGAAGAGCCTGGGTCCAAATGAGGGCAGGGGGACAACTGCCGGCCTGCGTGATCATGAAGGTCTCCTTCTATTCCGAGATTCTAAGCATCTCGGATACCACGCTGCCGCTCAAACCCCAACAATGCTGAGAGAGACAATGTCTGCAGGAGCCAGGGAGGTACCGGAGGAAGTGCTTAAAAGCTGTCAGATTCTAAATAGAACCTGAACGTAGAGAAAACGGGGTTTGCTGCTGGATTTGATGTGGCTTATGAGAACAGGAGGTGGCAAAGCTGACTCCAGGTATTTGACCTGAACAAGTGGAACAGCAGAGTCACCACCCTCTCCGATAAGACAAGCGGGAGGAAAGACAGGATTGGGTGGAGAGACCAGGAGCTCAGCTTTGGGTGGGCTAGACTGGCGATGCCTAGTAACATCCAAGTGTAGCTTTTGAGCAGAAAGGTAGATATGAAGAGTATGGAGTTCAGGGGAGAAGTCTCAGCTGGAGAAATAAATGTGCATCTTCAGGATACGACAGCATGATACTGAATTCGATTATCAGAGGAATATGCCTGTAGATGAAAAGAGAAGTCCACAGGCTAAGCCTTAGGAAACTTCCACTCCGACTGAGCTGGTTGGAAATGTTGTCTAATGTTTGGACTTGTCAAGGAGCCAAGAAGGAATGAATGTCCTTGAGTAGCTGAGAAAGCTTGGGGTAGTGTTGGCCTTTGCTGGGAGTGGACGGCTCCCCACATCAATGCAGAGAACGCAGAGCACACGGGCGCACATGTGGGGAGGAGGGGTAAGCGTGGCGGTAGAAGATCTTGCCTGACTGCGTGTGTTTTCTCAGTGAAACCGGAAGCAAAGCCGACAGGTGAGAGTGCGGATGGGGGAGGTGGCGCCATAGGTTTGGAGAAGGAGGAGCATGAAATGAGACAGGCTGGGACCTGGGACGCTTTGCTGCAGTGCTGCAATCACTGCACCTGGACACACCTCTCCTTGAGCAACAAAACACAAAGAAGCTGTATGGGACTAAAAATAACTGCGTGCGTGCGCAGTTGGGGCAAATTCTGGATCCAACAGATACAAAAAGACCGAAAAAAAACTGCCACTTTTGAAGAGCCTGGAGCAAAAACAGGGTACCCAACATGCCCCCTGCACACACCACCACCTAAGGGGGGGACAAAGCACCTAAGCCACCCCTCCGGCCTGAGGCCTGGACACATTTCTACCCTCACCCCACATAAGAAACCAGTTTGCCCCTCAGGGATTGAGCGAGCAACGGAACAGGCTGTTTGTTCTTCTGCCCCCCGCTGCAGCTGAGGCCCCGATAAAGCCTTGCCTGAATTTCTTGTCTGGCCTCTAGTAAATTTCTGTTTCTTGGGGAAGGCCAAGGACCCTGGTCGGTAACAGAAAAATGTGTGTTCTTTCTTCCCCAAGCTGCTGGGAGCCACGGGGGTCCCACGACAGAGCACCACACAGCCCCAGGTTCTGGAGGAAACGGCTTCCCTAACTTTAAGACCTAGCTTCGTACTTCTAGCAGGGCAAACCACTCCAGCCAGGGTGTCTGCATCTGTAATGCCTGACGACCTTAGAAAATGTCCTAGAAAAACCAGGGAATAACTCCTAAAGTAATACAGAATCAGTCAACATTCCAGCCAAGCTCAAAGCACTTTACACACATTTTTCTTTGGCTTGTGGGCCACCTGTAGGAGGGGGCGAGGGCTGTTTTCACTCCTATTTTCTGTATGAGAGCACTGAGGCACTTCACAGGAGTTACTAGCCCAAGGTCACAAGACTAGTAGGTGTTGACGCCAGCACCGACTACTCATCCTGCCGCTTCATGAACCTGTACCGCGTCTTAACAGTTTAAAAAGCATTTCCACGTATACACGTCTCGTTACAACACATCTGAGACGCAGAACACATCGCAAGCTCCGTTTTAAGGCTGAAAGAACTGGGACTCAAAGTCACAGAGTCAAGGTCAAATCCAAGCCTTCTGACTGTAAGAGTCCGGTGAGTGCTTAGTAACACTAGGTCGTGCGACCCGTGGAAGGGACGGGCGGGGAAGGCACCTTTGAGCCGGGCTTCTGGGGAACCTGAAAGGTGGGGTGAGCCGTTGAGACTCGGCCGTGGAAGCCAACAGAGAGAGGAGCGACATGGTCTGTGCTTAGGAAACAGGAAACCCCCTCCAGCCCCGCCCAGTTCGCGGCCGGAGCGTTGAGGTGAGAATCACTTAGCGAACACTTCGCCTAGGGTTTCCCAGGGCGTCCCGGCAGGCGTTACCTCGAACACAGGTCAAAACCATAGCTCCTCAGAGCCACAGGGTTAGCACACCCGCCCGCAGGTGCGTTTCTAAGGCAGGTGTGGGGACTCTAACCAGGCTCGACCGGGCCCTTCCCGCAAAGGGCAAAAGGCGAGGAGGAAGGGCAATGGCCGGCCGGGGCTCGGCGTTACCTTCTCGATTTTGCCCAGGAAGAGCTCCTTGGCGAAAGCTTGGCTCGGTGGACTGGTGCGCAGCGGGCGCCGACTCGCGGTGAAGGCCACCAGGGCGCGGCACAAGCGCGCCGCCGCCGCCGAGCGCAAGAAGAGCCCGCAGCCGCTCATGCCGTCCCGAGTCGCTCTCGCCGCCGCCGCCGCTTTCCCAGCGCCTCACTCACTTGCCCCGGGATCGCGCCTCCCGATGACGCCACCCACCTGCGTCGCCCCGCCGGCCGCCAACGCGCTTGCGCGGCCTCGGGCCCTGGCCGGGGCCGCGGCCAATCTTGGCGGTTTCGCGAATGGGCGGCTTCGCGATTGGGCGGCGGCGGCGGCGTGCCGTTTTCAAACACCTGCAGTGGTTTTGCCTAAATGCCGTAAATTACCAGTCCGGGCAGCGTCTCTGGGAGCCGGAACCTAAGCGGTGGCCCAGCTGCCTCCACTTGCCTCCCTCTCGCCAGCTGGGGCGACGAGGACATGGTGGAACTACAAAGCGGGGTCGGGCGGGGGGAGATTCACGATATGGGTTAGCTCTGGAGGGAGCGCACACACGGGTTACGGTCCTTGCTTTAAGTGGGTGATTAGTGAGGATTCCTTTGGTTTTGCTTCATAGCTTACGTATTTGTCACATATATGGGGGGTGGGGAGAAGAAAAGGAAAGAGATATTCCACCAGAGAGGTCCGGATAAAACCCTGTAGTTACTACGTCCCTGGGAAACCTGAAGGGCAAGGGTGGGGGAGAAGCTGGAGCTGGGACCGGTGGCAGGGACGGGATAGGGGGGAGGGCGTCCCCCTCCCCACACCCAGCGATGCCCTGAAGGCCCTCCTCACCTGTGCCTGCGCCCTGCCTGTCGCATTTACAGGGCAGTAACAATACGCTTTTTTCTCATTGGAAATGCTCTCTGCCACCGTCAATATTCAGAGAGCAGTGGGAAACGCATTCAGCTCAACGTGCTGTGCCAGACCCAATAAAAGGTACACTTGTTTGAGTAAAGACTTGATGATGAAAACGCAGTCCTTCTCGGGAGGGACTCGAACCCAGCCAAAACTCAGATTGGGACTCAACCCCCCCCCCCCCGGCCCCGCATCTCAGATGTGGACGCGAACCCGTTGTCTTTTAATTAAAACCTCTCACCTGGTGTTAGAACTTAACTGAAGCTCAGCTTCTTTTGTCTGGTTGCAGAAGGAAGCCGGTGTGAGGCAAAGCGATAGGTAGAGAGTGAGTCTGTTAGCATAGGACGCTTGTGAGAGATACAAGCGGGCTGGCAAGAGAACTGAGCCCTGAGAACCAAGAGGACTACATCTTTATCATCCAAGAAAAAGTGGGGAGGGGAGAAGACCACCTTCTTCCTCATTCTTGGGCAAACGTCAAGGCTTACATCATTAGTTCCTCCTGTGACGCTATATGATCTGACCAGGGCTGTCATGGCGCTATTTAATTCATATTTATATTAGCAAGAGGGAAGTAACATAGACTAAAATATGGTAATTCATCTCAGGTTTCAGGATAATGTCCCCTTTCAGCTAGTTTCTTTCCTTTTTTCACCTCTATTTCTCTCTTGGCTACACGCAGAAATGCTATTCTTAAAGGATGATTAACTCCCTGACTTCGTGTAACAAGATTCAGACCCCACGTCTTTTGTCTTGTGCTTTAACTATGAGGGTTTGTGGCTTGAGTGTGCCTGGCGCTTGGAGGCACCTGTCTTCCTTCAAGGTAGTGTAGATCGCTGCTAGGTTACTGGATTCCTCTCTTGAGTGGTCATTAGCTTACACAGTCTCCCAAGCTCCCTTAAAGTTCCCTCTGTGTCTTTAATCCCCTAGTGGGATTTCTAAACTGACTATTTGATTATCCTACTCTATCCCGATCAATGACATAGCATCAGGGAAAAAAAGAGCTCAAAAACTTTCTTGGTTGCAAAATACCTGTACTTGCAGGCAGCTTCTGCGATGTGCTCTCTCTTTTGTCTTTTTAACTTTTAAAGGCTTGTCACCTGGTTTCTTCCTCAGTGGTCAGTATTTGCCAGTCTCAGCATTCAGCTTCTCAAGAAGGCATTTGGTAACAAGTGCCTTTGTGAATTAACTCTGCGGGTGAAACAAAGGAAAAGTGCCATTGCTGGGTTTTCAGTTTGAGCTGGTGTACATTTTGGCCAAAAGAAATGTAGTCAAATCAATCAAGTCATCCGATAATGTGCTGGATCCTCTTTAGTGGATCCTAATTTGGTTGGATCCTCCCTAAATTAAACAAGTGAGAAATTCAGTGGCACACAGTTTCCAAAACAAAAATTAGAAAAAAATTAAGGCGTAATTTCTACGTACTCTAGTAGCATGTACAATGGGAAAAGTTTTGGAGTTCTACAACTTTGCCGGTTTCTAAATTCAGTTTTCTCATCTGTAAAAATGAGTATAATATCACTTACCTCACAGAACTTTTGTGAGGATTAACTGAATCCTTACAAAAGCATCTACCACAGCAAATGGTCAATGTTTTTCTTGTAATAATATAAAAATAAAAAATGGTTACACACTGAGATTTCCATCTTATACTTGAGTATTAGCCTCTGAGGAATAGGATGCCATTTTTAAAGTTTGCTTTACACATAGAATTTCCACATTTCGTCTTTGAAACACTCTCACCGGGTACCTCTGAACGTCCTTCTGTATGATCACGTCAGTACAACTGGTTCTCATACATGACTTAACCAGCAAATAATCTGGCACTCTTGTGTGGCCATCGTGTTGGTGTTAGCATACCAGGATGCTTGGCTCTGGGCCTCTGGCACATCCTCTGAGTAGGAAACTATTCCTACACCCCTCAGTGTGAAAGCCATACACCGGGGAAGGTCATGGAGACATTTACGAACACAGAATTAGAAGAAAGCGGTAGCGTTGTCTCCTGTCCTAAGGTTACAAGGTCAATAGTCAGTCATGTGAAAAATGAGAGTCTAGTCAAGGTTCCTGCCTCGTAGCCATCAGCGTCCTAACTAAAGGCTCACGGATAAATCACGCAGTTATCACCAGTGAGTGCATTCCCTGCTGAGAGAAGATGGCTGACACCTCACTGTCCAGACATCAAGTACCTGCAAGAAGAGAGGTGTCCCTCAAAGAAGAATGTTGTCTCGTACACTAAATTATGTTGTACCTCCTTCCCTTTTGATGTGTATTTGTCCAGATTATTACGGAAACATGCAAGTCACTGGCTTGTTGAAAGCCACAAAGGTAACGAGGTGTTATGGGTTGAATTGTGTCCCCCCAAATTCATTTGTTGAAATCCTAACCCCCAGCGCCTGAGAATGTGACCTTATTTGGAATGAGGGTTTCCTGTTGCATTGTGTTGCAGATGTAATGAGCTAAGTTAGGAAGAGGTCATAGTGGGGTGGGGTGGACTCCTAGCCCAGTACAACCGGTGCACTTACAAGAAGGAGAAATGTAGACAAGGATGTGCACACAGGGAGATGCCATGTGAGGGTGAAGACAGAGATCAAGTTAACGCTTCTAAAGGCCGAGGAAGGCCAAGGAGGCCAGCAAACTGCAGAAGCTGGGAGAGAGGACTGGGACAGATTCTCAGCCCTCAGAAGGAACCAACCCTGCCAACATCTTGATCTTGGACTTCTAGCCACCAGAAGTGGCAGACAGTAGACTGTTTAAGCCCCCGGTCTGTGGTTCTTTGTTAGAGCGGCCCTTGCAGACTAAGACATGAGGGCCTGTGATTCTTGGCACACGGCAACATCAGTAAACAGGGCCTAACAGCGACCACGGGGCTGGGGCCGTGTCTCACAGCCCACGCACCCAGGGCTCCTGCTACGGTTTGGAATCGATGGCTTCCTTCTAGCTTTTAAGAGATGAGTGGTCATTCTCTGCTGCCTCCTCTTCCACCAGCTGGAGGCAGAGGACTCGGCCCTAGTGGGCGGCGGGACGAGATGGGAAAGGCCTAGGTCTTTGAATATTGGTCTTTTCCTCCAAAGGAGGAAAGCCAGCCACGGAATAGGGACACCCATGTTGAATATTAACAGGAGCAAGAAATATGTACTGTATGAAGCCACTGACATTTGGGGGTTTCTTACAGCAGCCCCCAACTAATAAAAATACCTTCCAAGTGTCAAGGAAAACACTATAAGGAACAGTATATAAAGAGTCACCATTTTAGGGGCCAGTCACACCTGTCATGCTGGTCAGCTGAGCCCCAAGCAACCAGATGGTTATTATTGAGCCCCATCCTGGTCACCCACAACGAGTGCCCTTCTATGCCAGACACTGGCTGGCTCACGTGCTTCACATGTGTCAATATCATTTAATCCTCTAAAGGAGCCTGTGAATTCAGGCACTTTATGCCCATTTTGCAAATGGGAAACACAGGCACTGAAAGCTCACAGTCCTAAACAGCAAAGCCAGGCTCCGGGCCCCGCCGGCTGGCTCCTGGACCTGTGTCCTCATCCCCCAGGTTGTACTGCCTTCCTGAAGGCGGCAAGGCAAGACTGGGCGGGTGAAAAATGACCTCCTTCTCTGTCATCACTCGGCCCCATTACTGGCCGACCTGAAGTAAGGTGAAATTACCCTGACGGAGGTCAGAAACCCCATCAGGCCTTGGTGTCACTCTCCGTCTCTGCCAGCTCGACGGGCTGACACGCCCTTGGGTCAAGTTGCAAGGAGAGTCAAGCATGGCCCTTGGTACTTAGGTGCCCCTTTTACGTGTGTTCTGGCTCTTGTTTCTTTTGTGGGCTTGTCAGTCTGAATGTTTCGGACTGACGTGTCTGAGAGGTCCTTCTGCTCGGTGACGCGCTTTCACCAAACCCCTTCATCACCCTCCTCCACCGCCACACCTCGGGCAAGGCACGTCCTATTCCAGAGGCCCAGTTTCCTCACCTGTCAGATGATGAAATCAACACAAAACATGGATTTTTATGCAAATTAAGTGGCCTAACATTTAGTTCTGCTCCCACTCTACACACTGCAGACTTCAGGGTCTAACGACCCTGAAAAAAAGAGCCTAAAAATAGGGGCTCTTAAGCTGAGACCTGGTCCTAGTGATAACAGTTTTTCAAAATCTCAGGAGAGCTGCAATCTTAACAGCATCAACAACGACAAAAACAAAATACCTCTGATTTTTCCTTATGCTTCAAAAGCCAAAAGAA